GTGGCTATAAATTACTACATGATAAAATGTAGACTGTCGACTGTCGACAGACGGTCGTACCTAATATTAATCTGTTATTATTAATAAATATTGTGTATAAACGTAATAGGCGTGAATAAATTGCGAACGCCGGGACAGGAAGTATGGAGTCCCTCACGTAAAATGGTTCACATTTCCCACCAAACGCCTTTGGAGCCGAATGTCTAGGAAACATAATTACATAAGACCCGAGGACTGTCGACAGTCTAAATAAAATTTAAAATGACGTCCAATAGCGACTGTATTAATAACTAAGTATTTTATTTGAACTGTTTACAGCAGTACTTTATGTGAGAAATCAATTATGTAGGTAGAAACAATGCCTCACATGCCTCGAAAAATTAGATTGTGGCAATATATCAAAATCAGTCTAGCGTTTCCTACTTGTAAGTCCATACTTCCTGGTACTCCCATGATAGCCATTTTATAACAAAATTTGCATGAGAAAATTGATTATAACCTACTGCTCAAAAAGCACGCTACAAAACGTCGTGTCCCGGATTAAAAGTTGGTTAGCAGACCGGTAATTTCAAGCACTAATATCACCCACAGTTTAGTGTGAAATATGACTAACTACTTGATATGGCACGGCAGATGTCACAATAATCACGTTAAAGGGCGGCAGTCGTCGTGCCGCGTCCTGTTCGATATGGGACTCATAGCGACGTATACAACGCGTGTAAAATACATTGTTTATTTACATGAAACTCGAACACGCGCTGCGCGACGACCACCGCGCTTTAATCATCACCATTGTATGCAAAGAAAGACAAATTGTACCGTATACAAGAATTTAAGGCTGGATAACAATTACTCAAATGGTGCAATGACACGTGACTTTGGAAAAAATATCAACGAAAGGTTATATTTCTACCGATTACATATATCCCTCAAAGACCATTACTGAAATTGAGCATCTACCGTCCATATTCCTAACGATTTTGTGAAATTCTATTGGTCAGTTTTAAACTAATAATATAATAATATGAAATAACATGTGTACATTCAATAATTGTTCTGAAATGTCATTTGTAAAATTTTTAACATCATTGACAAAGGTTATAACATCACAAATCAAATAATATAAATTACATGAACTATTGGATGCCTCCCGAATTCTACAAATTGACTGAATAGTAAACAAATCACCCTAAATTACCGAGTAATATGGAAATCTGCACATTGTCAAGCTGAACGATAATAAAATCTATTTTGTTTTTAGTTTGGGAAATGATTACTGAACTTATTACAATATCTTAGAACTAAAACCATCAACAATACCGTGCTTGTAAGTGTAATTCATCACCGATATTACTCCAACTCAGACTCTTAAAGACGATTATACAAGGGAATCACGTGACAACATTGCTATTATTTACATTGTTAATCTGTCTTTTGTTTTCCATTGTATTTTTAATCTAGCAATGAGATTTTCTGAGAGACTAGGCTTAAGTAGAGCATGGAGCTAAAAAAGATTAGCTCTATGAGTAGAGGAATCTCTTTAAGATACAGGGCATGTATGAGCATACATTACAACATTTCTATGTTTTGGGTTTATCTGGAAGAAATTGTTTTTTAATTTGAAGATCATTTTGACTGTTCAATAACCATTTAATATATAGGATGATCTATTGCTACAATGACGAATACATTCACTTTGGTATGCTTTTTAAAGATTTTAAAGATTTTTAAGTAAAGATTTACTGACATAATCGTTTGATTTATAACAGTAATTCATAACATTTCCTTCATTAGAAATAAATAAGGAGAAACAGTTCACTAAGGTATGCAAAATTAGAAGTAGTTTTTTTTTTACTCCAAATATATGTTTGTTTATACTGATATGGAAATAAAATAATACAACGATTTCGTCCGAATAAGTTCTCCAACCTCCACTTCTCTGACGTCTACAGAATTGAAACCACAAAAATGTTCTTTCCCTAAAGGGGTTAGTGATGGGAATCACAGACAAATATGAGTGTGAAAAAAATCTTCATAAGCACCTTATGTCCTTTGGGAAAAAACAGAATAGAACAAGGATAAACATTAGTCGACGTTTAACGATTTAAATGTTCCCACTAATCCGCCAGCGGGGTCTTCGCCACTTTTACCACCTCCCAGCGCTTCTTTGGATTTCGGAAATCCGTATTTATTATTTTCTGCAAATTCCACTTCTTTTGCCACCAACTGATCGATCCACTCTCTGTTTGTTGCATTTTGAAGCACGCCGCCGTATTCCGTCGGCAGAATCGATGATGGTATATATTGGTGTAGAGTGTCAAATTCGTTGCCATGGAAATGTAACTGCAATGTAGACAAAAGAAAGCGAAACAGTATAGAAGATTTTTTATTACGAAATCGCATTTTCTCCTCTCACCATGACAAATATAAAGTACACATAACTTATCTAACAGTACTAAATCACACAGACACAAAGCCATGGACAGGTATGTTGAAAATTATTCATATAGCTTCTACGCAAAAGGAATGATAGCCGGTTATCTCACTGAAATCCAACACTGCTAGGGAAGAACACGCCTGGGTTCTGTCACTTAAAACAAGAACTCAGTGGTGATACAAAGCGTTAAAACCGCAAATATAAATAAGTAAACAGCACACTTCTCGTCATATGTAGATTAGTAAACATCACACTTGTATTCATATGTAGATTAGTAAACAGCACACTTGTATTCATATGTAGATTAGTAAACAGCACACTTCTTGTCATATGTAGATTAGTAAACAGCACACTTGTATTCATATGTAGATTAGTAAACAGCACACTTGTATTCATATGTAGATTAGTAAACAGCACACTTCTCGTCATATGTAGATTAGTAAACATCACACTTGTATTCATATGTAGATTAGTAAACAGCACACTTGTATTCATATGTAGATTAGTAAACAGCACACTTCTCGTCATATGTAGATTAGTAAACAGCACACTTCTCGTCATATGTAGATTAGTAAACAGCACACTTCTCGTCATATGTAGATTAGTAAACATCACACTTGTATTCATATGTAGATTAGTAAACAGCCCACTTGTATTCATATGTAGATTAGTAAACAGCACACTTGTATTCATATGTAGATTAGTAAACAGCACACTTGTATTCATATGTAGATTAGTAAACAGCACACTCCTCGTCATATGTAAATTAGTAAACATCACACTTGTTTTCATATGTAGATTAGTAAACAGCACACTTGTATTCATATGTAGATTAGTAAACAGCACACTTGTATTCATATGTAGATTAGTAAACAGCACAATTCTCGTCATATGTAGATTAGTAAACAGCACACTCCTCGTCATATGTAGATTAGTAAACAGCACACTTGTATTCATATTTAGATTAATAAACAGCACACTCCTCGTCATACGTAGATTAGTAAACAGCACACTCCTCGTCATATGTAGATTAGTAAACAGCACACTTGTATTCATATGTAGATTAGTAAACAGCACACTTGTATTCATATGTAGATTAGTAAACAACACACTCCTCGTCATATGTAGATTAGTAAACAGCACACTCCTCGTCATATGTAGATTAGTAAACAGCACACTCCTCGTCATATGTAGATTAGTAAACAGCACACTCCTCGTCATATGTAGATTAGTAAACAGCACACTTGTATTCATATGTAGATTAGTAAACAGCACACTTCTTGTCATATGTAGATTAGTAAACAGCACACTTCTCGTTATATGTAGATTAGTAAACATCACACTTGTATTCATATGTAGATTAGTAAACAGCACACTTGTATTCATATGTAGTTTAGTAAACAACACACTTCTATTCATATGTAGATTAATAAACAACATACTTCAATTCATATGTAGATTAGTAAACAACATACTTCTATTCATATGTAGATTAGTAAACAGCACACTTCTATTCATATGTAGATTAATAAACAACTCACTTATATTCATATGTAAATTAGTAAACAGCACGTTTATCTTCATTTTCTATTCATAACTCTCCACAACACAAATTATGGCCAATCAATTAAAAGTAAAGATCTCCCTCCCGAATAACACTACACTTACCCTTTTGATCATCTTTTCACTGAGGAAGGGCCTAAAAAGTCCGAATATGACGTCAAATATTTTCGGCTGGTTAACATAATGGAAAGCCTTCAACCGCAGAGGCATGGCATTCTACAAGATTGCATTAAAATCAAATACAGAATGAGGAGAATGTAGCGTGATGTTTTATTTAACATTTTACTTATGCATTTCCTACGATGTATAGAAAATATTTTTTCCATTTGATTATCATAAAGTAGTGCTTCGAAACGAGTCAAATATACGTATTTGGCTTTAAAAAGTTGATTCAAGTTTACCACTAGTGAACATTAGCGAATATTAGTTACCAATTTTCAACAATTGTTGTTCAGGACAATATTGTGAACGACACAAATCATCCGAAAACCTTTCCGAGACGTACACGAATGCTGTGAATACACTGTCATGTAAACCGAATGTTGTGAACATTTGGAACGTAAGAATGTTGATTGGTTGACTATGAGTGAAATTACGTCACACACACATGATTATACACGAGTGGTCCACGGGGGATTTCGAATATTATAAGTTAATTTTTAATTAAAATAAGTGTGAATAATATGTATTTGCTTGGTTGAAATTGAGTAAATGAACACTTTTGGGACTGTGCACACATCATATATTCAGTGGTGAATAATATGTGTGTTTATTCAGCAGTGGCGGCGGCACTGGGGTCGCCCCCCCCCCGAAAATGCGAGATGGTAAGCAGATCTCGCCCCCCCCCCCGCCCCATGCAAAATTTCGTGACGTCGCCTCTGTTCGGGGTATTAACATGCTGCATGACCTTTAAACAGTTACCTGAATTGTATCGGCCATTTTCCGTGTTATAACGGGATTCATGTGTTTTACATGGTTCATGGTCATTCCTGAATAATCAGCGATAAGTACAACGCCATTAACTTGTGTTTCTTCGTCTTCAGTAAGCATCTCTATTAAAAGTAGAGTAGCCTTGAAACATGCTGTTATTGTATACCTGCTTGGGTCCCATCGTCCTAATATTGAAAACATAAGAAAAGTCAAACTGAACTTTCATACAGCCTCTTGTTGTCGTTTTTTATAATATAATACAGTATTATGTGAGTGTAAGGTTGCCGCTTTCGCCGTGTATACATAGTATTTTATTTTATTTCATTGAAAAACACCAAAAACCAAACAATAGTCTGTATGTAAATCTAAATTGTTGTTGCTGCTATTGTTGTTGTTGTTCCGAAGTTCTGAAAAGAAAATTGATATGCAATTAACGAATGTCATTTAAATAGCAATTCAAATTATCATTATTTCGTCAAATTATGACCTACCCGGTTTTACGATGAATATTCGACGTCCATCCTTGTCTCTACTTGGCAATAACAAATGAACTTGGTCTTCCAATATTTCTAATACAGTGGATGGGGTGAAATCGCTGAAGATATCCTTATACTGGGAACGTACTTCATAATAATGCACTAATGTCTTGAAAGCACGTCTGACATCAAATTTACGTACTCGTAAGAAACGTATTAAGAAAGAGTCGTCTAACCGGAATTTAATATCCGGTCTCTCTGTGAACATCGATCGTAGGTCCGCCAACTTCTGTTGACGGGTAGCCGGGTTTTCGTTCAGTTCTCGCTTGGCTTTCTCCAAAAGATCCGAGCTCAGCGTACACACGTAGTCATCGTTACTACTCATATCTGATAACCGATTATAAACAAATATAGTTTGCGTAACACTAGTAGTCGTATCAACATACGAGTTAACAGCCGAGTTAATCAAAATGGCGGATAATATACCAGTTGAAAGTTCAACGACCTTTCACTGCTAGAACCCCGGGCCGGCAGTGAAAGCCATTCGTATTCTGGCGTCTGTTTCTTACGAAACCTGTATTATAAGTATACGTGTGAAAATATTATATAATTGGCACAGCTAAGTTTGTAGTTTCCGTGGTATGAAACAAGCGATCAGTGCGATAACTTGTTCGGGACTATATTCCGTATCCTGTAAATGCCACGTAACATTTGGTTAACAATGGAACAACCTTTCACACATAAGCTACAACGAATAGAATGCGAATAGCAATCAATGAAGGAGATTTATTCACCCACCCAACGGCGGAACTTTAAGGGGTTAGTACAAAAACTGCCACACAATTCTTATTCTGTCGTGGGTGTGCTGTCATGACGTGTCCACGGAGCTCTGCAGGGTGTGGTAGTAAAACTCATCTTTGCATGGATTATTTGCGCTGTAACGATTGCAGGACATAATCTGTGCCAAGGGGACTTGAATCTTTGTGTTTCGTGCATGCTACGAAGCACAACGTCCAACATGGCAGTGCGGGACCAGAGAGTTAGCAATCTTGGTCAAGTGACAGACTATCGGGCCTTGGCAGTTTCCAAACGAAATGCTGTGCTCTATTGTTGACAAAATGGACATACTTTCTAATGGGATTACTAAGACTCCGATATTGAGTTTTTTTGTTATGATGACAATAATTTTACTAGATCACTGCATTTCATCAGTCAGTGTGCATCGTTCCATATCTCTATATTATAAATAACTATGCATGACATTGTTATGATTACATGTCAATAACAAATACATGTTCTTGGGGCTGGATTGTTAACATTGTTGATAGTGTTTAATGATAATTCTTCTGATCGTAATTAACGTATTTGTTGACCTAAACTAACTCGTGATCAAATCATTCAATATTCTATATATACAGAAACTTAACTTCATCGAATTTATCGGATGTTCTGAACTGCACGGAAGCTACCTGTCATAGCACACATTATCACAATCTAAGTAGTACTTGCTATGATGCATCGTCAGCTCGATTAAAGCTCGTCGTAAGAGTTTTTAGTCCTGCGAGATTGTACCAGACTGGAACGACCTGGTTAAAAACGAGCATAATTTTGCTCGAGAGTTTTTCTGGTTATGGTGTGTTGCCGGGAAACCAACGCAAGGTGTAGTTTATTAAGTAATGTGGTCTTCGACAGCTAAGTTCAAATTTGCTCTACGCACTTCCGGTTAAAAACTGCACTTCCGGTTGATTGCTGAAAACATGCCAAGCACCTAATGCAGAAAGAGGAGCGTTCTTTTTGGAAAATTATTACTTCGTTACGTATAATAACAGTTCTACCTTCGTCTGTTCATATGTCAGGGTAGTAAAATATCTTTAATATGTGGGCTGAGCATTTTGATACTCTTCTTAATTCGGTCAACAATGACAAATATATGCCGGCTAATCTTCGCCAGTCAAGATTGCAAATGGCATTACGGGTGTTCCATTCACAGAATTCATGATATTATTGAACTCTTACCACATGATGAAGCGTGTGGACTCGGCGGTGTTTGTGTCTGTCGAAAGCCTCCAATTTGCTCCACGCTCGCTTAATATACACGTCGCATTATGTGTGTCATCTATGCTTGTCCACGGAACAGTCCCCAGTTACCTAGCTAAATTAATGTTCTACTAGTATTATGAAAAACAAAAATGGAGATATCGCGAGTAAAGACAATTATGCTTAAAAGATGTGAAAAGTGTCTGAACACATCGGACAATCAATTTGGCTTCAAGAAGAAACACTTCAATGATCTCCGTATTCTTAAAGAGATTATTCGATGGTACAAAATATATGGTAGTTGTGTGTTTGTATGTTTTCTGGACGCTTCCATAATGTTTCGATATATTCATCGCTGGTCAATTGCTATCGCACACAAAGTTATTCAAAGATCTTCATAAAACAAGTAACCTGTAGAATGCTGTGTGGGTAATATTTTTATATTGATTTTTGTTGCATTTGCAGCAAATAGTTACGAAACAATGAGAAATCTATAGGATTGAATATACCTCTCGGCTGGCTTCACATGCATAGTTCAAGCCTGCCTAACCGGTGCTTATACAAGGATTTAATTACAGCACCTAGACGGTCAGAGTAATCGCAAAATTGACATTACAATAGAAAATCATGAAAGACTGGCACTCCCATGCAATTAATAGCAAGTGAAATTCCTGGGATTGAAACATGTATTTTGAAGTCACTGATGTAGGCAATGAATGAAAACTTCAAGTTGGCATGAAGATGAGGTAGTTTATTTAATCAGTGCTGAACTAGAGGCTGAAATTATAATTAAGTGCGTTGTCATATAATTTGTTTATTTCAATTTCTTCTGAAGTCAAATAGAATGCACTGGTGAAACCGTGAGTGAAAGGATGTCTTGGGGGTATAGTCTACATTATGTATGAAGTGTG